TCTATATCTAAATTTCTATCTACAAGTGGAATTAAAAAACAATCTCTATACAATGTAAAGGATCTCCATATACTGTACAGTAACAACATAAACCATATATACTCTAAACCCAGAACCAGATTGACCAAACTTGCAAATAAAATTTGAAAACTATAAAAGCATCATGAAAAAATGATATACAGAACAATTTGGTTTCATCATCACACAGACAATTCAATACCAAAAATGTTGATTCAAAAAAATACATGAACTGTGCTAAAAACTGTATATGTCCATTAATTTACAAGAAATTTTGTTTTCTTATTCCAATTTTCAATCGAAAGCTAAAAACTGCTTTTAAATATTTCTAAAATTGTTCTTTTAGTTACAAGTTGTCAATTATTTGTAAGTAATATTTATTTTTACTTACCGACTTGAAATAATATTTTAACTCTCGCAAGAGTCATCATCGAAAGTGGAGCGATAGCAGCCCAGACCTTCTCACCAAGAGGCAAAACATGTCAAGCCGGTAAGGAAAAATAAATATTTACAACTGGATTAACCAAAAGAAAAATTTCAGAAATATTCTATTGAATCCACAATAAATGTATTTCCTCTAATTCAAGTATGAGTTTAATTTACCTAATTTTTATTCAAGCAAAATAAGTCAATTAAATATTAACCAGAATTAAGATTGCTTTCCACAACCAACAAAGTACTCAAAAAACATGTAATACAAAGTGCACACATCACTCACTTAACACCTCTTACAAATAATAAAACATTTACATACATTTTTAATGTCACTATGTTATCTTACATATTTCTAATTGATATTTGAATTCAATCTAGATTAGATATTAAATAATAGTTTTTATCAATGTAGAGATACAGTCTTGTATATTTCAAAATCTTTTTAGTGTTGTGTAACAATATAGTTTTAAAGTCACAGCTCAAACACTTACATCACACACAGAATGGGGCACCTCTCTCCTACAGTGCACAGTCACTCACTTAACAGCTCTTGCACATAATAAAAAATACTTACATAAGTTTTTTATATCACTATGTTATTTTACTTATTTCTAATAAAGTCATCATTTCGTAAAATATGCTGTCCTGTCGTCAAGGTGATAAAGATTAAAATACAAATTGTAAAACGGTACCGATTCTGTTCCACCGAAAAACCAGCATCTTAATGACCTACATTCTGTAAAACGCTGTTTAGTACTCAAGTGTTTTGTACCAGAAAATAATTTTCTAGAATCTAATGGGTACAGTACTTGTATACATTTCAGCACCTTGGAGAAATGATCCTATACCAACATATCAATTCCGGTATCTTAAAGGCATTCGTCTGTTCTACAACTTATTCAGCATCTTGCACAGAGTATTTATCTTCACATCTATCCAAATACAGTTTCTTCACAGAATTTCAACTGCCAGATCTTGCCACCATAAATATCAAACTTCTCACGGCCCAATATTTTGATTAACTGCAACTGAAAAATTCAATTGATTTGGTTTGGAAAACAGGTTTCAAATTTGAAGGATCGTTAAACTCGAAAACCAGATTATATAAGCCCACGCTTCGCAATAGTGGGTCGCCAAACTTTCGCATTGGGTTGCGAGCAGGTTTGCAAAAAATTTGAAAAAATACAGATTGTCCATTCATAATGTTGATAATTCACACTCTTGCAAACAGAAGTTTAGGTGAAACCTCATTAGAACAATATTTTATTATAGCCCACATATATCATATTGTGTAAATTTATACATTACACTATTTAACAACAGATTGTGAATTCACAATCTGAATTCACACACTTGAATTCACAGAAACTCTGTCATGTGACCAATAATTTTCAAATGCAAACAATTAGTACAGCTAAAAAGCCGCTCTCCCCATCTTGTTTGGTTGTTTTAACCACAGGGTTAAAATTAAGGTTTAAATTTTCCAAATAATTATCTAAAAATTGAAAATATTTTCTGCCCAAAAATCAGTGGCCGATTCAAGGGGAAGCTGGCCTGCCTCCCACCCCCTTAAATTTGTTTAAAGTAAAAAAAAAATAATAATGAACAAAAGATTGTATTCAAATGTTTTAGAGTGCAATTTCCAGGCATCTGGAAGTGCCATAATCATAAAACAGCCCCCATCATAGTGGGGCTGAGGTGGGTAGACTCTCTCTGTAAAATTCCCTCCCTGGCCCCCTGTGTTACGAATTCCTGAATTTGCCACTGAATAATAGTAAACAAAAATCGATGTAATACCAATGTCAAGTAGTCATTTTTAATACATGAACATCAAATTTTTGGGGATCTTATAAAAGTCGCGGTGCAATTTACTGTAAAATTATTCGATGGCGCCCCCCCCCCCCACTAGAGTGGGGTGGGAAATCTGGACTTGGGTCCCAGAGAAAAAAGTTTGGGAAGCGGGGATAAAAACAAGTAACTAAGAATCAGTAACTTCATGATTTCAATGTATACCTGTATCATGTAGGTGGTGCTTATAGTGTAATGTAAATATATTTTTTAACATTATGATTTTTTTAACATTATGAAAAAAAAAAACAGATTGTAAATTCATAATGTGAAGCAATAATAAAATATGATGCATTTGAACAATAAAAGAAAACACATTTGTTTGATTTTCTTTTATGGATATGACGATGGGGAAATAACATAAAACATGAATGTGTGGACAAAACATAATCTTATGTTGTGTCCCAAAACTAACAAATACAAACCTCAATTTCATCTTCTTCATACTGATCTAGTACCTCATAAGCTGACATCCTGTCTCTTATACACATCTAGATGTGTATAAGAGACAGGAATTTCAACTGCCAGATCTTGCCACCATAAATATCAAACTTCTCACGGCCCAATATTTTGATTAACTGCAACTGAAAAATTGAATTGATTTGGTTTATTTAATTTTAGCACACATTTTTTATAAAAGAAAACAGGTTTCAAATTTGAAGAATTGTTAAACTCGAAAACCAGATTATATAAGCCCACGCTTCGCAATAGTGGGTCGCCAAACTTTCGCATTGGGTCGCGAGCAGGTTTGCAAAAAAATTGAAAAAATACAGATTGTCCATTCATAATGTTGATAATTCACACTCTTGCAAACAAAAGTTTAGGTGAACCCTCGTTAGAACAATATTTTATTATAGCCCACATATATCATATTGTG